AGAAGGAGCCAAGCTATCGGTGGAAGAGAGGAGGTGATTAGGATAACTAACTTGAAACTATCTACTAGGAAAATGACTACATAATTATGGTGCATTTACATTAACATCTAATAGAATTTGAAAGGATACAAAAGATTTACAAATATTTCGTTAGAAGATACTGAACGCAAAAAAAGAGAGAAACTGAAATTGACATGAACCATTGTAGTTGCTGACAAATGAATTGTTTTGAATTTTCTAAATCGAATTTAATAGAAAGATCGAAATGATTCATGTAATCGACTCTTCAAATCATGGACAGTACAAAGAGACTGACAGTGAGTTAGTGGGTGGGTGAACTTCGCACCTGGCGAGAGCATGTCCCAGCAGGGAGAATTATTATCATGTGCCTACACCTTTTTTAGTCAGCAAACCTTAAATCACATATGGAGAATTGTTTGTTTGGTACTAAAAGGGGGTGTTAAATCCAGCACCCTCCGTGCAGTACCCTGACCGTTAGTTTAGGACTCTGCCTCTATTTGATTGATTCCTTTCACATTTTATGATTTCCACAAACGCTCCTTCAAAATATAGTAATTTTCCTTTTCACCCAATTACTAATTTATAAAAGTTAGAGTTATAATGTGAAAGATGACGAGATCAAGCAGGATTTGTGAAAGATGGATAAGATCTAGTGACATGGGGTCGTGCCTCAAGTGGGTAATTGGCATTTAATCATTTCTTTCACATCATAAGAAATGTCTTTCGGCCAATAGACTCTTTTCATTTTCTATTTTTCTTTTCTTTTCTTTTGACACAGACAAAAGGAGAGGAAGATATCAATCCTTAAACTCTCGAGACTTTAACCGTAAAAACAACCACCCTTAATCAACTGGGACAGAAGGAAATGATTCACCTTTTACATATGCTTCTCTTTAAATTATCGACAATTATTTACCAGTGTAAATTAAAAATTTGTATCGATTAATCGTGTAATGATTAGGAAGGGGTTGCGACGAAGAACATATAAAGATTGCATATTATATACGATCAACTTCTTCATGTTCGAGTTATATAATTTAATATACGGGAAATAAAACAAAACGTTGGGATAGATTATTTGTAGTGGATTGAAACCAACTTGTCCATGGCATATCTTTTTGTACAAAAGTTGATTCCAAAATTTCAAGTTTGTATATCATTACTCATGAATTGCATATCACTCCAAGAACAGTTTTCCAATGGCAAAAAAAATATGCTTGACTGAGCTTAAAAGTAAATCAAACATTTATTTTCATACGCTTTTGAATATGTTACATTTTTTTTATGCAAAATAAAAGAGTTATTTAATTTAACAATTAAATATATTTTCAAAAGAAAAGCATGGTTTCAAGTTTTACCAATAAAAAAATATTCAACTATACTCACTAAAGGAAGAACAAATAATAAATCAGATTAAGACAAGAAAAGAAAGAGGCGTCAAAATCTGTCTAGTGCTAGAATAGGCCATTTATTTTGGCCACTGAATATGTAAGGAAGCTACATGGGATCATTATGGTTAATTGATGCATTATAAGTTTCTTTTGATTAGTGGAAAAAAATGCATTTCAAATACCACCTTCCTACCCCCACCCCCCCCGGGGGTCCCAAACCAACCATGCAACATCCCTGTGAACTGCATACAAATGGTAATTTGTGAGGTTAATATTATACCTAGTTTTCATAGAAGTCATGATCAATTCAAAGTGCACAACACCTTTCTATTTTGTTCGATGTATAGTACTGAATATAGGGGTATTAAATAGGACGATTGGAATGGACTTTTAAACAACATAAGAAAGGTAATTCATGAGGTTAATATTGAACCTAATTTTCATAGAAGTTATCTACAATTTATTAAAAGTGTGGATTGAGTAGAAACTTTTAAATTCTATCCTTATATATTTAATATAGTAACATTTAATATAATTTAATTTCGTTTAGTATCCATTTAAGTTTAATATTCTATATTGGAATACTTAAAATTTTATATTAATCAAATTAATTTAAATTATTCAAATTAAGTATATATATATATATATATATATATATATATATATATATA